CAAATACACATGCATAAAAAATTATACATCCATATTTACATATGTGTACATGTGCACAGATATACATATATATGCATATGCCACACACAAGAACACATAAACAAGCACATACATATCTACCACACACATAAACAAACACACATCCATCCATCATATATACAATACATAATCTCCACGTACGCAGAAGCAAGTAAGCATGCACACACAAGTGCTGGCAAACAAATAACAATTTGCATTTCCTCCAAGGTATGATCCTAAATTCCTGCTGCTTGGTCTGCATTGTGTAAACCCAAGCCCAACCCAAGATGGCACATGTTGCAGAGTCACGTCCAAGATCAGGCATTACCAAGTGTCAGTGAAGATCACTGTGATTCCCACTAGTTGACAGATGAAGGGAGATACAGAAGGCAAAAGCCTTGGTTGGCAGTCTGCAATTCTCATTCTGGGAGGCTGCAGACACCCATCAGCCTCTTGTCCAAACGTGGAAAGAAAAAGAGGGTGGGAAAACCATTTTTATAATACTACGTAGTATTTCATGTTTTGAGAAATTCATGATATAGGGATACTTCTTGGCTGGTTGGGATATGCCTATGGAGTGGGAGGGGGCACGCCAGTGGCTGTTACAAGCATTCCAAGGTAGAGATGGACAGAGTGTGACAGATCTGCCCCACTGAAACCATAGCATGGAGCATTCAGCTCTGAAGAGGAACAAGGGAGCAAGAAAGAGAAAGCAAAGTGCACAAAAAGTCAACCTACATTCTTCAGTCATCCCCAGAGAAGAGAAACCGGGGTCAGCAGCAGCTCCTGAGGCTGGAGACACTGCCTGCTTGCACCTTGGGTCCCTGCACTTTCCGCAGCTGCTCAGATACTGCCAGATAATGCTTCTTCCAAGCTGAAGTGGGGCTATCGCTTCAGAAGAGATTCATTTCACCGATAAAAACAACTTCCTCTAGCTGCTGATTAGATAAGGGGGCTAACATCCGCACTTGAAGCCAGCTGCCCACTCTCCAGCCAGGCCTGCTGTCTCTCAAGTCCTGAAAAACTCCCTCCAGCCCCTCTTCCCTCTCCTAGGCCTAAGGGAATCCTCATAGCTGCCACCCACCCCGAGGACCACCCTTGCCTGCCTCAAGCTGACCATGGAGACAGGAGAAATGTAAAGATGATAGTGTGTGTGTGTGTGTGTGTGTGTGTGTGTGTGTGTGTGTGATAAGCCTTGGTGTAGTAAGTATGTCTGAAATGCCACACCAAAACCCAGAGTTTGTATGCCAACTACAGCCCAAGCTAAACGCCACCCCCTCCATAGGAGAGGACCTTGGCTCCAGGACTATCAGTTAGTTGCAAAATAAGGGACAATATATTTTACATTCCTTCATGTAACACAATACCATCTACGCTACCTAAACGCAGTAAAAACTTGAAACGATTGTTTATAGTTTCTGTTTCAGTCCCTGCCCTCACGGCTGAATCAGTGTAATGAATGGAGCAGAAAACAAACCAAAAAACAAACGAACAAAATAAAAACCAAGATCAAGGTTTTTACACACGTCCGTATCTCTCTTAGGATTCCTAGGGGAACGGAAAATGCAGAGTTTACTTCGTACCTTCTCCCCACTGCCATCTAAGCCAAGGAGAGCCAGACTCTGGCACAAGCAAGCGCTCTTTAGAGGCTGTGCAGCGCCAGCCTCTCTCAGAGCCAGCAGATGAAGATCAGACTGAGATGAACTCAAAGGGAAAATGTAGAGTTACACAGTCTAGAATACACACACCCTCGCAGTGTTCCTCTCATTCCTTCTGTCTGGGTTCTGTACGTCAGGGGCCGAGCAGCCCCTGAAGCCAAATCAGGGTGATTTGGGAACACCTAGTCCAGCCTTGGGCAGGCCTATGCCTCTGCGGGCTTTTCCCCTGGACTCTATGCTAAGCCCCGCCCTTGCCTTCTCATGGCGTGTGTCTGTGCCGTTAGCCTGGAATCCCCCTCCCTACACTCCAGGTCTCTTCTCCCTCTCCTCGGACTTCCCTGTTGTGGTTGCATTCATCATGGAGTGTTGCCCTGGATTCTCAGTGTTGGCCCAGTGTCGGGTAGGAAGGGTGGTGCAGCTCTGGTCCCTTCTAGGAAACAAGGGGCAAGAGCAAACCCAAGCCCGGAGAAAAGTCCCCAGAAAGAAGTAGTACTGAGCAAAGGAGGGGAGTGTGGAGCTGCTATTTTCTTTTCCAAGTCCCCCAGCTCTGTCTAGACCTCATCTTGGACATCGTCCCACAGAAAGGCCTTCACGAGGCCCTGGAGTTCTGTGTCAGTGCAATGGGTTCTGCACTCCCTGCAGCAAACAAGCGAGACTTGGTAAACTCAGGGCTGCCTGAAGAGGTCAATGGGTGCTTCCTCAGCTTCAAATGGTTTCAGACACAACCACTTCAGAGAGCTGAGAGTTCTCTCAATTTTAAAGAGACCACTTCAGAAAGAACAAGCCGCAGTGTCATTAAGTAGACCATTCTGATGACTAAATTCCTGCTTGCCAGAAAGTTCTCCTTTGGGTCTGACTTAAATTCTTCAAGCTGCCCTTCAAATCTTTTGTTTCTTCTCATTCAGACTTTGAAGTAAATGAAGGCCCAGTACTGTGTCTTGCTCTGCATGTAACTGTCACTGTCCCAATATTTATACACAGATCTAGGGTGGCCTTTCAGCATCATTAGAAAAAGCAGCAGTGTATGAAACCCTAACTTTCAAGTCCTGGGAATGACCCACTAACCAGTTGGGAGTTGGGTTCTAGTGTTTCCCACTGCTGATTGGTCTGCTCTTGTCTGGTGCTAGAGATGCATCTGGGATGGGTCACAGCTGTCAACAGCAGGCCTGCCTTTCTCCCATTGAGTGAACCAATCTCCTCCACCCTCACTCCTGGTCAGCTCTGACCATGCCTCCCTAAACTGTCCACTCTGATGGCTCACACCCAGATTTGAAGTCAGTCTCCCCTTTGGTACTGTCCTATCATAATACATTTCTCTCTTTCCTGGCTGATATCAGTTTGCTTATTTTATGACTTCGTCCCCCTCTCTCCAGACAGGGTTTCTCTGTGTAGCCCTGGCTGTCCTGGAACTCACTTTGTCTACCAGGCTGGCCTCAAACTCAGAGGTTCACTTGCTTCTGCCTCCAAGCACTGGGATTAAAGGCGTGCACCACCACTACCTGATGTATGAATTGGTTTTTAATTAACAAATCCATCATCTCTTCCTGATGACCTGTTGCCTGTCCCTCTCTCACTCCTGAAGCTACACTGGGCCCCTTTCTCCAGGGCTGTAAATCCCAGGATACACAATATACACTTTTCCTACCTTTTACTTTTTGTCTGCCATTCTGTCTTCTGCTTTTTTTCAACTGCCCCACAAAGCCATCCTGGGGCATGTGGTAGTTACTCTTGCTCACATGAGGAAACCGAGGCTTGGGGAAGATGAGAAGCTCTGCCCTGAGAGTCACAACCAGGGACTAGGTTTCTGGAATGTGTCCTTTCTGGGACTGGCCCTCCCGCATGACCACATCCCTCTTACTGACTCCCTATCTCCATGGTGACACTTGCTTCCTCCTGCTGCCCTCTGCTCCCACCTCAGACTCTTCAGTCTCCTGGTCTCCTGGCATTTCTGACTCCTTGGTTCTCATGAGCCATACCATGGGACAGTGTGGTGAAGTACTGCTTCAACTTTATTTCCTTCAATCTGTGAATTCCCCTACCTGTTATCTCCACACCATTCTATTGAATGTGACAGTCTGCAAGTTATGAAACCCACAGCCTGCAGCTTACATGTGGAACAGTTGGCGCTCCTTCAAGAGTCACACAGGACCAGCTGGCCACCGTGTAATGTGGCTGGGGGCGTTTGTAGGGCGGATCCTCTCACCCTTTCCCACATCCTATCTGTCCTCTGGGCTTTTTCTCAGTTTTCCTGGCAAGTGACTCTTTGGCCTCTAGTTGCCCATGAGAGAACCTTTGCTCCCTTTATTTGTGGGGCCCACTTCAAATGGCCAGCCCTGTCTCCAGGGCCAAGACAACGGCTACTGTCAAATCAGGCAAAAAGGTTTACCAGGGCCTTTTATTTTCTCTAGTTTGAAAAGACTGTTTTCTAAATTCTACCCTGAGAGGAAACTGAACTGAAAATCGTGCATGGGGACGCTCAGGGAGAGGAGACTCTGGAAATGACAAGTCCAAAGGAATTCCCACACTGAGAGTACCTGGGACTGAGCGTTTTACTCGGGATGCAAGGGACACAGTCTGTCACGGAGTCAGCCACGGTTGGTCCCCACTCACACAGCATGGCCACAGGGATAAGGTGCCTACTGGCTTTTGCTGGCACTCGTGACCCATTCCTCTATGGCGAGTGAAGGACACGTCTTCCCTGCTCTCCAGGAACCAGCCTTGTTTTCAGTTCCCTAAAGCATGCCTGCAGCAGCATGATTCTGCAGAGGCTCCACGGCAGCTGTGGGATTGCAGGGCAAGCCCGCCTCTTTCTCCATGAGAACCAAGTCAGCAGCCTGACTCTAGCCGGGGCACTCTCTGTGTGGCGTGGTCAAGGGACAATGCCTTCTGTTTCTGAGAACGAGCCTCTTGCTTTGTGATGAGAACCACAGGCAGGTTGTGAACATCTGTCTATGCCTGGGTTACCTTGGAAAACAAACCCCTATCACACCACATGCTTCTGGGACTAAACAAAGGAGATCTCTATGTTCCAGTCCTAGCTGAATCCCTTGATTTACACTGACCTTTAAATGTATGTAAATGTGTTTCAAAAGGCACCCATGCTAGTAGTTCAGCACATGGTAACAGCAAGACCACTTGCAATAAGCAGAAAAACACCTTAAAATAAATGCATCAATTAAAACAGATTGCCCAGGTCCCAACTTTAGGAAACCTTGAAAAATGAAGTGAGCTCAGAGGGCAAGCGGGACTGACCACACCTACCTTACCCTACACAGCAGCCATTTCCTAATGGACACCTGAAGGACACCACGGTGACCCACTTACCCATGCCTCGCTCACTCTTGGAGTTCTGCTGTGATCCAGAGTTGGTGGAGAGGTCTTCGGGGACAGGCATGGGTTCATCCCCTTCATCGGGAGTGTCACTGACTGGGGGGCTCTCCTTCCCTGTAGACACAAATCAGAGATTGAGTTTCCGGCGGGCACCGTCAGCTGCTGGGAAAACCTTAGTGCCGGGCTTCCTCGATGGCACAAGAGGGTAGCATGGAGGGGTATCTGCTCTAAATTGCTGCTTCCCTGTTAGGACCAACACGTATTTCTCTTTCTAGGAATGAATATCACTGCCAAGCAATAAACAAACACCAGAGAACAAAGGTTTACACAAGGCAAACAACACCTGTAGCCTTGGCTATTCCTGGGACTAAATTACTGCATAAACATTGATATATTACAGGGCAGATGTGGTGATGTCACTTTTCCAAAGGAAATCAGCTTTTAGATACTCTCGATACATTTAGGTGTTACAGAGCTATTTCTACAATCGTATTTGTAATGGGCACATGAAGGGTTCCATTTTTTCCTGCTTTTGACTCTATATTTATTTTATTTTATTTTTTTACACTTTTAAACAACACTGAGCTGAGCATTTTATCCTTAAAGGCACCATTGTGTACTCTTTGGAAGGGATACTGCTAGGCCAATGGCACCTGTATCTCTGAGGCTCTGCATTTGCTTGACAAACTCACAGTCCACACAGAGACAAAAGTTTGTTACACTTCATGAAGTAAGGTTTCCTCCCTCCCTCCCTCCCTCCGTCCTTCTCTCTCTCTTTCTTTCTTTCTTTCTTTCTTTCTTTCTTTCTTTCTTTCTTTCTTTCTTCTTTGCTATTATTTGACAATCCCTTACACCTGTATACAACATTTGGTCATTTTTGCTCCCCGTTACCCTCACATCCCCCTCTTAATCCCACTGACTCCCTTCTCCCCAGGAATCTTTGGCTGGATTAAAACGAAGTCTCTCTAGCTCTTTTAGGTATGAGAACAACACAGTGAAGCTGTCATTGAAAAGCTTCATCTTTCCAGAGCTGTTTAAAGGCGTTACTATACACAAACGACACAGGAGACGCGGCTGGTGTGGCCCTAAGCCTATGCTCACTGGTCTACTATACCTACTATCAAAGACAGTCTTGCTTAAGAGACCGAAGGTAGTACCAATATACCAGCTGTTTGCCTGATGAGTTGGCAACTTGGCCCAAGAGGCAGAATGACCTCCACAGAGACACTAACCCAGACTTTTGGGAGCACATACAAAAAAAAAAAAAAACACGTCAGTCATTAAAAATTTTTGAGAACATGACGAGACACGGTGTGAAGACTGGATCAACTCAACAAGAATTGCACCAACATTTTAGGAGATGGAGGAGAGCAGTAAACACGAGACAAGCATTCCTGGAATCTTTAAAATAGAATCTGTAAAGGCACCAAGGACATGCTTTGGGGGATAGCATTACAATGTCTAAGAAAGAGACATCACAATGTAATATCCCAGGTTAGCTGTGATGAGAGCAACTGGCATATTTTCAGAAAGAGCATTATTGGGTATATTTGGATAGCTGATACAAGATAAATAGTTAAAGACGGGGTAAGATTGTAATAATTTCCCAAGGAAAAGCAAAAGGCCCGAGAGACTGATCAAAAGTGTTATGCTAGAGTCTGTGTTCATTGGTCGGTGCTGTCTCCATTACCCTAAATAGATGACCTTTAAAGGAACAGTGGCTGGATGTGTGGCCTTGGCTCTCATCTTCACAGCAAGAGAGGAAAGACTCTAACCGGGAGGATGCAGAAGGCATACGAACCGCTTGACAACTTTTACTTTCATACAGAACCATGGCCCAGAATAAAGGTTTTCAAAGTTTGAGGACTTTAGGGAGGGGTTCAAAGATACTGACCACATAACATCCTCAGCAGATCTTCTTTATAATATAGAGACCCTGCAGTGGGGGAGGGAGGAGTCAGATGAACAATGACCTATACCACTTGCCTTCTGAAAGGCCAATGAAGAACCTCCAAAGAGGAAAGGGAAGAGGGAAATGATGTAATTACATTATGACCTCAAATAAAAGAGAAATAACTATAAAAAGAGCCTCCATCAGATTGATAGTGGGGCCCCTGGCAACGGAGCCACAACTTGAGAAGCTGGTGCAGGAGTTGATACACATAGAATGTATGGAACATTGGGTTCCTGTGATTAAGCAGCTCTTACTAAGACTGAGTGGGAGTGGGGGGAGGAGAAATGGAATTGCTTTGGCTTATTTTGTTATGACGATCTCTCCTATAATAACTTCTGGACCCATGGAGATGCCATATCACACTGGAGCTGGGGGGAGGGTATGTGTGATAAGGATCAGGTGTTAGCCAATGAAAGCATGCCACACTTCCAGCTCAATTCATGTTGAATTGTGTCCCACCCCCCACACAAAAAAAACCCCCAAAACCCAAAAAAACCCTCTTAGTGACCCATTTTTAAAAGTGTGGCTGACCCATCTTTGAAAGAACAATATCAACTACGTCTTAGGGAGGATGTTCATAATAACAGCTGTGTTTCTTAAGAATCACAACGGGCTTAGGTCATTACACTAAAAGGCCAGCTCCACAGCATTCCTGAGCTTATATCTCCGTACTTTATCTTTTCCCTACGTGGAGGACGAGGTGTAATGAAAACAGTAGGGATCGTGACTCTAAAATACCTGTGGGCCAGACTGATCAATAGGAACTCTCAGAGCAGAAGAAACCACACAGAGAGGTGAAGAATAACAGATCAGACCCCATGTTTCTAGGGGCATGGAGTACAACACCAGACTGGAATGAACAAAACCAGATGTGCTCACATGGCAGCCGAGAGCGTGGCATTAATTCAACGCTGCCTTACCTCGGCTCACTGATGGTTTTTAAGAGGTCCTCTGATTTGCCTAAAAGCCCCCCAGTGTGAATTATGTTGCAGAGCCATTCGTCTCTCTGGGGGGCTCTGTGCCCAAGGACCTTTGCATTCTTTTATTGCTGGAAGGTCTTCCTGAGGAAAATGTACCATTTCATGGAAACCTCCCTGAGAGGCAAAATCATTGTGCATGCTACCTTTCGCTCCACTCATCCTTTGAGCCATTTCTTTATAAAAAGGAAGTGCTAGGTCAAGCCAACACGGTCCCAACATGGATACACTGTGGGATCTGGGCTACAGGTCTGAATACAGCAGCTGAAGGGATGGCGGGAAGAAGAGATGGCAGGAAGGAGAGATGGCAGGGAAGAGAGAGGGCCACCATTTTAGAACTCTCTCCTCAGGCAGAGTTGGAGGCTAAAATTCAGGATTCTGGTACAGCGCAGAGGGTTGTGGAGAAAATAAAGTTAACAACGAGTGTGAACGCTAACCTGTCAAGCTCATGGTGTCATTCAGTAACCTATCGTGCACCACAGAAACATAGGCTATGGCTTGCACCTTTACCCTGCAGCATGAGCAATGGGCTGGAGAAAGCAAGACAGCAAGCATTTAATAAGTCACGGAATAGCTCTGAAGAGGCTAGTGCAATTTCACTTACCTGGGAAGCAAAACTTCTGGCGAAATTATAAATGTATCAATTTATACCTAATTTGCCTGTTGCTTTTGTGTCAAGTACGTCTTTGAGAAGTTTCTGTGGTCAAATTAAAGAAACCGTGCCCTTAATCTGAAACTAAAAGTAAATGATTTCTCAAGTAGATTATAATTTACCCTAGCTACCCAGCAAAGCTCTGGGAATCTCTCCCAAAGGCTGTGTCTTTAATACTCTGAGGGGCCCAAGGGAACATAAATCTGGGGTAGATGCTCCCAACACAGAACAACCACTCTAGAGAAGAGGGAGACGCTTGGCGCCTAGGGCTGGAGTAGGCTCATACTCCCATGGAACTTCTTGTCAATCTCTTATCAGCCATGCTTTGGTTTCCTACAATTTGGAGATAACTACATTCTCCTTCAGTGGGCTTTTATATGGTGAAAACAAGAAAATGCTTAGGCTAGTATTGGGCAATTCAAAGTGCTCAATCAATGTTATTTACTATGATTAACAGGGAAGGATACTTCCATTGTTATTTAATAGATAGGAGGCTTGTTTCCTTACACAGATTAGTCATCTTTACAGGGTGTTCTCCTTGTGTGCATGTTCCAACAAACACATTACAAATAGCATTAAGATAATACCAAATACACAAATGGATGGATCTAGAAAACATCATATTGAGTGAAGTACAGACTCAGAAAGATAAAAATCATATGAACTCACTCATAAGTGGCTTTTAGACATAAAGCAAAGAAAAACCAGCCTACAATTCACAATCCCAAATAACCTAGACAACAATGAGGACCCTAAGAGAGACATACATGAATCAAATGTACATGGGAAGTAGAAAAAGACAAGATCCCCTGAGTAAATTGGGAGTGTGGGGATCATGGGAGAGGATAGAAAGGGAGGGGGAAGGGGAGGAGAGCAAAGAAAAATATACACCTCAATAAAAACAATAAAAAAGAAAACATGAGATACATAGTTCAGGCGATGGGACCCAGAGGAGCCTCAGAAAGTCACTGGCCAGAGTCACTGCTGCAGTAGGAGACATAGCATGGTTTAGGAGGCTTGGGTTCCATAGCTGCAGTCAAATATAGGTGTGAAGATGGCTTTTCAACTCCTTTTCGCTTTTTCCTATAGACTGTCTCTTTCTTTAGAAGGCAAACAAAAGCCCAAGCCATATGCAGGAGTAATTTGAAAAGACTGACGTAGAAGAGAAGGGAAGAATAGCTTCACTCAAAAAGTTAGGGAGGAGTTCCCCAAAGGAACCGGCAGCTTTCTTTAGATCCACACGTGTTCAACTCAAAAGTCTGAGGCCTGCAGGCCAGGAGAGCTCTGATGCCCCAATTTGTAAATATGCTTAAAACACTGAGGGGTTCTTGGTGATTATTTTGTAACTTTATTGCATGGTCCCTGGGTGAGATCATTGTAGATGACCGGTAAGGCTGGGCACACTTGTAGGTCAGGGCCTATTCCTATCAGCGAGCCTTTTCCAATTAGTGGACTCAAGACAGTGAGCATGATCTGTAAGGCCTGTCAGCCTCTAGGATTGTCCCCAGCCCCTAGGTGGCATCAGCTGGGACAGAGTCCACAATGAGGATACATGCCAGGAAAGAAGAATCCAAAGGCCTTGAAAACAGGGGCTTAGCAGGGTCTGTTTTTTAAGTATTGCACATGTTTGGGGGACTCCTACGAAACTGCTGATATTTGAACATTTTATGAAAAAGAGAAAGACTCGGTAATACATTCCTCCCTGTGCTATGTAGAAAGTTAACCCCCAGGCTGAGAATATAGCTCAGTGGCAGAGCACCTGCCTCGCACAAGCAACATCCTGGGTTCCGTCCAGGGTTGCACCCAGGGCTACTAGAAAAACAAAGCAAAGAAATCAAATCAACTCCTGTTTAACTAAACGTGCATCCCACCACACAACTTCCCACTGCCTTTCCAGCCTTAGCAGACAAAGAAGGAGATCTGGTTTGAACTGGGAAAAGTATCAGATTTACAGAAGCATAAAAGCAGTGTTTAATCCTTCCTAAATGTGACACGCTCTATGGATGCTCTAGTCATGGTGTAGAATGCTCAAGGCTGAACAGAACCCAGCGGTTCCAGCAGGGTTGGAGAGAGAGTCGTTCCTTTGCTATGGGCGTACAGAGAAAATTTCAGACTAAATCTTTTCAAACCAAAAGGAGAGTGAAGGAGTTTCCTTTTTTTTTTTTTCCAAGCTGTTGGTTATGCCTGCCCCAACTGTCCTCTCCTTTAGGGCAATCCACAATGCACTAAGTATTCAGCGTAACTTTTAAGGGCAAGACAAGGAAGTTCAAGAAAATAACGCATTTGTAAGCCTCGGGATCAAAACCGAAAAATGATAGTACTGGCTATTCCTCCTAGCTAACATGTTAGAGATAGTTTTCAAGGCTAAGGTATATTCGCGTCTTTATTGTTTTAAATTTCTTATTGATACCCAATAATTGCTCATGTTTTTGTGGTGCAGTGAGATGTTTGAGATTTCAGACATATATGCAGGGCATAACAATCCTCACATGTGCGTGGCACATCCCACAATGCCAGACTCTCCATTAGAGTGAACAAATTCAGAATCCTGTCCTGTAGGTATCTACATTGTTGTCAACAGCAGCTACCATACTGTGCACACTTGTGTTTCTTCCTCCTAGCTAACCACGCTTCGTATCCACTGACCCACCTCTCTCTGCCTATGCCCCTTACACCCCAGCTTCTGGCAGAAATCACTCTTTCAACTTCTTTTTTAAGAAAAATGTTCAAATATGACACAGTTCGTCCCCAATAAACATAAACACACTGCTTACTCACTGGACAGTGTTGAGCAAACTGGCATGTCTTTTATGGGATAAATCATGGAAATAAGTTTAAAAGGTAACTATAACAGGGGCTAAAGACCATACAAAAGGTGGCGGCTAAGTGAGGTAATCTGGTTCCTCTGCAGTGTATTCTTTTTTTGTTAATTACAAATGTGCTGTGAGCATGTTACCTCAATAATTCGCCACATGTTCTGTGAAACAATGACAATATTGGGGGTTTTCTGTCTGCAATGGTTTTTTCTTCTCTTCACTTTGTTCTTTGCTCACCTTTTAGGAAGCAGTTTATGGTCTTACCTTACTGAATTTTTTTTTTTAAAATTACACTTCCTCTGTGTGCATATACACAAGCACACTCACGCACAGCGTGCATGCCATTGATTTTTAGTTCCTGGACTCTTTCACTTAACTGAATGCCATTTCCATCTATTCATGTTGCCCTAGATGACAGGATCCCAACCTTTATAACTAAATGGTACTCCACTGTATACACACACCACACTTTATCCACCGATGGACATTTGGGTTGATTTAATCTCCAGCTTATTGTTTTGACATCAGGACATCAGAATGTAGGTACCATGTGGACCAAGAGGTTTCACTCCCACTGAGTGCATTTTGTAAAAGTCATCTGAGGTCAAAGACATAAAGAAAAGCAGAAGAAGAGAACCAACAAAAAGGTTCTTCTTGCCCTTAAAGTTTCTCAACATCCCTGTTTTTGTGACATTCGAGGCAATCCGGCTGTAATGGGTGAGCTCAGTGGGTGAGGTCTTCCATCAGTAGAACCCATGCTTCTTCCCTAATTATGTTTGGCACACTCGGTTTTCCTGGGCTTTGAGGGGCGGGTAGGGAAGCTAAATACAAAGTTGCAATAAACTAAACAGGATTTCTTTTCCATTTAACCACTTTGCTTAAAAAGCATAAAAGAAAATAAAGCCAAATAACTCTGAAAAGTACAGGATAAAAGCAATGTCTTCTTCCACTCCCCACACGCCAATCTTTCTTTTAACCCACAGCTTCTGGGGGGAAAGTCCAGGTTAAGATGTACACTCCAGAACCACTGTAACTGTTTACACAAGCATGTAGAATGTATGTGGGCACACATGTGTGGAACTCATTCCACATGGAATCATACTTTGCATTTCTCCACTTTCATAAACATTTCAGATTTCTTTCCATACCTGCACATTCCTATCCTCCTCTATTTTAAGTGTTAAGGGTACAGGTCTGTGGACATACCATGGTTTTTAAGTACTAAGAACAGTGCCACAGTGTGCTTCAGTAAGGGGTGGGACTCAGGGCATGCAGGTTCTCTGGAGAGCAATGCAGCACCATACATTCAGGGCAGGTCCCCTAGAAGCACCCACCAGGACCAACTTGCAAAGTCAGAAATAAACACTTCCTCAAAACCTGAGGGGGCAGCTCAGCCAAGGCACAGATGGCAGGCTGGACACTTAGAGGCCATGCTTCTAGGGCTGGGGAATTGCCTGGAGGCTCTGAAACAGAAATACCGACCAGACTTCCAAGTCCAGGAAGCCTGTTTCCAGGTAGTGTGCTGATACAGGGCCAGGCAGGAATGGACCTCGTCTGCTCATCATATTAGGAACAGAGCAGGATCTGCTGCACGGCACATGCTACCCCACTGGACAGCCTGGGGCCTGACTTGACTTTCTCCTGCCATAGCTTTCCATTTTCCAGGTCTTCTAAGAGGAGAAGACCTCAACAGCAATGTTTTTGCCTTCCTCCCTTGGTAAGTTCTCAAACCCTGAATTGGGCCAAGTTGGTAGGTGTGCTTTCTTTGCAAGCTTCTGTCTCCTATTCTTCCTCTCCCATCTTTTACCTCTTACGTGCCACCTTTTGGCATGCATTTTAGCTGTTTGATAGATGAATCCATCATAACTTTCTCCAAAGCACAGTATTTATTTAATCCTTTCTGAGTTGCTGTCAGAGTTGACACCATAACTCATTTCGTTTGGGAGCCTTTTATGCTCAGGCTCTCAAACTGGGATGCTTCAAAAGTTGAAGTAAACATTAACACACATCCCATCTGGGTGTTTTCCTTTACGACAGTCTTGCTGGCTCCCCCCAGCACAGCCAGCACAACTTCTGGACACAGGTCTATCACCCAAGGTCTCACCTGAAACTTGGGACATGTCTTGACCCTCGTCAGCATCCATTGCGTTCAGATTATCTGTGAAAGAAAAGAGAGGAATGGATTTAGTTTAAAGCAAATGAGAGAGAGAGAGAGAGAGAGAGAGAGAGAGAGAGAGAGAGAGAGATTGTGCTATTTAACAACAACACTATCTAGCAAGAAGAATGCATTTTTTTCCTCTTCACATACTTGCTGGAGTATCAGCCTAGCACAGACCTTGATCCTTTAAAAAACAGCATTACAAAGATTTATAAAAATATCATTACAAGCACAGGAGGACCAAATTTGTTATTTATTGTTAATTTCCTACTGCATAATAACCCAAAATGCAAACTGACTGCAACAAAATTAAGCAGAAAATTAAATGGCCCTGGGTCATTGTAGGCACAGAATTCATTCTCTTGGCTGATCCATAGTTATGTTCTTTCTAATTTACTGAGCATGCATCGATGAACCTTGAGTCAGCTTGGTGACACGCGTACAATCAGCAATCAAAAAACGAAGCAATTTGCTGAAGAATGTCTCATTTACCCAGGCAGGCTGCATATCTGAACAGCAACGCACTACCTCCATCAATAATGAATACACCTCCAGCCTGGCAGATGGGCAACACGCGCTCTGTCCTTGTCCCCCCCCCCCCCACTCCTCGGCTCCAGCTTCAGATCCCACCAGCACTCTCCCACAGGGAGAAGGGACAGAACTAGCCAGGAGAGGGCCCAAGCCTCCTGTTTTGCAGGCCTGCGGCTGGCTCCTCATCTTGGTTTGAACTGAAAACACCCATAGGAAGAGGCTGTCCTGTAGCAGCCATGGCAAAAGATCCAGGACTATAGGTACAAACGACCACAGACACCAGGGAGGGACCCAGAGACAGAAGAGAGAGAAACGACGGCGGGACTTGGTTTGGAGGCCACACCTCAGAGCATTTAGGTGCCCTTAGATGTTACATTCTTAGTGCAAACATATTGTAGCTCGATAAGAAATCCGTGCCCAGCAGAATTCTGTGGTGACTTCATTGAGTCTGCTCACCATGATCTCAGGCTATCTGCTTGAGAGTCTAAGCCCAGTGCCTTTGTTTTTACCCGGGGACCACCATTTCTCTGCTTCAGAGAGGTGGATATGAGCTGAGGCCTGCTTTCATCAGAGACCAGGAAACTGATGGGGGATGCCAATCGTTTGGAAACCATGTGGGTTTCCAAACCAGTAGTGCATATGTAAATAGCTCTATATAACACAGAATCATATGGAAGGCAGGATATGGATATACACAGCATATGCATATATTCATGTGTTGTTATATATTATCTATATGTATACAGATGCCATATATTGCTAATATGTATTTTATGTGATGTTATATCTATCCATCAATCTAAAACTTGATGTCTCTTTTTACATTTTGTGATATACATGGACAGAACACATATATTTTTTCAAGAATATGGTCAGCTCTAAGGAAGGCTTCTGTGCAGAGAAGGGTTTATCTGTTTCTGAAAGGCATTTCATTGGTCTCACCAGGTCTCAGAGAGCAGCCAGGACTACAGGGAGACAAAAACCCCGTAGTACACATGTGCTTCAGACCCCCAGTGACGGTTCAGCAGCTACCGAGAGGAAACAAGCCATCCCTAGAGGCAATCACCAACCAGTATAAGAGCAGCCAGAAGTTCTGTGCCCAGAGTCCCACACCTTTCTGGGTAAAAAGGACTCGATTCTTCTGAACAACGATAAAGAACTCAGAGGAGAGGCCTGTGTGGTGGGCTGGGCTGCACTCGTGAGAGCTGAGACCTTATTCCTGTGGCTTGCTGGCCACAGATGAACTGGTTTATGAAGCTCATCAAAAGTTCTGGGATGCCCCAGTGTTGACAGGTAAAGCAGAACTCAATGACTTCAACACAAAATGTCTATAGTGTGAACTTTGAACTTCTTGTGACATGAATGAGTTTTCATGAGTTTTTTTCTTTCTTTCTTCCTTTTTTTTGGGTGGGGGAGAAACTCATGTAAGTTCTACCACTTAGGACTCATAATATTTTTTTTTTGTTTTTCGAGACAGGGTTTCTCTGTGGCTTTGGGCCATAATATTTTTAACTTTCAGCTCTTGTTCCTGTGTGTTTCCTAAGCCTTTCATAAAATAAGACACTAAATGTATTTCAGAAGTATTTTTATTTAACTACTTCATAGTACCACCATTATATGTTAATGGATATTAAAGGCCTGATTGACTAGATCATAGCCCAGTATAATATACCCAAGTTCCTTCCTACTCCAAGGAAAACAAACGTTTCATCAGGCTGTGAGTACCTGTCCTCCCCTCAACAGTATTTTATAGACACAGCAAGCAGCTCTTATGGAACAGGCACACAGGGAAGTCACTTGGAGCAAGACCCCACGGGCAGCGTGGCCATCATGGTACATGACAGGATGCCAGCAGCTCGCCTCTGCCCTTGGTTGCTTGTCTGGGTCGCCTGATGACAGACCCACTTCCAGCCAGGGCACATGGACCCTTGTGACACAGCCTACCTCACTTCGATTTTCAACCCCACCCTCTCTGGACTTGTGACTAGTACAGTCGCCAACGGGGTCGCTTACTTGGTGTAAAGTTCAACCGTCAATAACGTTTTCAGATACTGAACCGAGTCTGCCTACACTGGGTCCTATGGATTCTCAGCCTGACTTGTCTGTCATTGCTGGAGTGACTTCTCAAGCCCATCAAACTTCCCAAAACTAAAAATCGGCACCTTTTTGGGGGGGAAAGACTAAAAAAAGTAATCCATCAAGGGCAGAGTGAGAGGGAAATACATTTGATTTCTTTCAAGGGAAAACTTACAAAGGTATCTGGAAGGGTCCTGAAGGACCCTAACCCATTCCTGGGTCCTATGCTGACCACCAGGGGCTGCTTACAAAATAAATACCTACTTAGCACCTCTTCTCCCATGTAGAAGCAACACAGAGCACAGGAGGGGGGAAAGGTGGGATTTAAAGGGCCGGAGAGATGTCTCAGCGGACAAAGGTGATGCTGCCACACCTAGCCCTCCCCCCCCCCCCAGCTCTATCCCTAGGAGCCACGCACGGGAAGAAGAGAACTGACTTCACACCTGTCCTCTGAGCTCCACATGAATGGGCACACATGAAGAAAAGAACCCACTTAAAAACTTCAAAAATGAGAATTCAAGCTCAGTCACATTATAGTCTCAGCTAAAAATAAAGTAAAAAAAAATAAAATAGAAAAAGCTTTCGTTCACTAAAAAGCATTAATCACCAAGCAAACTAATGGCATGTTTTCCTCAACCCTGACCCATCTGAGAAGTTAGTATCTTCGGGGCTGGGCAGGGGTGTCAGAAGGAACAAGCGTGTCACAGAAACCTGCCGCGATGGTCCACTTTGCACGGGAAAGGCAAGCAGTCTCAGGTAAGAGCCAACCCAATGGAGAACACACCACCGTATCAATAAAATGAGCTCTCACCTGTGCAGTTCTTCTAAACATGAATGCTTTTATTGTTTCTCTGGAGCAAGCAGTTCTGAATCTTGCACAAGGGGAAATAGATGCAGAGATAAGTGCAGGCCAGCGTGACAGAGGCTGCCCAAGGCTGGCCCTTTAGGACAGTGAGCAGTGAAGCTTCCCTTATAACCACCATCTCTCCAGACCTCTGCATTTCCTGTCTTCCTCAGTCAACTCTCCTCCGGTCTCTATTTCTGTGTCTCTCTCTCCCTTCCCTCTGTCCCTCTCCCTTCCTGTCTGCCTCTCTCTCTCTCTCTTTTTTTCCCTCTGATTAAACAGGGACAAACAGGTTTCATTTCCCTGATTCAGACAGAAGGAGTCAACATTTCACTGATGTTAGGGAAGAGGTACGGAAGACAGGAGAATACGTCACAGGTTTCAGACCGCAGAGGAAGGGCCCCATTGCACTGGGGATCAGCCAGAAAGCACAAACTCAAAGCTCTGCAGCCCGTGGGAGACTCCCTGGGAAACCAGGAGCCTTTTTTTCCTCTTGCCACACAGAGGCCACTGCCACCAGGCTGGAACCTGGCTGGCTCCCTGGGGAAAAGCATCCAACAGCCATGGGCAGTTGCTGCCTCCAGGTAAGCAGGCTGGCCAGGAGTTCCTTATTGCTGGTCCGGTTCTAACCTGCAAGGCCCAGAGGAGAGCTTACTAGAGCCCAGGAGCACACAAGTCCCCCAAGGGGTGCAGCAAGCACCTTTCCCAGTGGGGCTCCATGTCATAGCCCACTGTCTTCTTCAGAATTTTCTCAAGCTGAGCAAGCCTAGATTTATTAAATCAAAATGGAAAGGAGATGCCAGTCGGAAACCACAAACGTTTGTCTTTTCAAGGTAGTCTAACATTCTGGCTACCAGAGAACTGCTAAGCACATGGCACGGAAAGCCTGCTGCAGGCAGGAGGGATGGGCGGTCGGGGGAAATCAGCCTCCACTGTACTTTCACAAGCTCTGAAACCTGCCCCCTGGGATTCAAAAACACCATACACTAACTTTTGTATTTGTTTTCAAGATAAATGCCCTTCCCCGTCTTGAAACGGCCTTGCGATGTCCCTGTACAATGATACTCCACAAGGACCCTTGAGGACCTGGTCTATAGCCAGAAATGGAAGAGCACAGGTACCTTTTAGGCAGCTCGTTATATGTGAGGTGTTCGAGAGGGACACCGTTATGTTTCCTGACACGGTGAGACCCTGCCTTGCCTTGCCTTTTACTGGGCAGCCTGGCTCAGATTCCAGTATGCAGTGAGCATCTCCCTGACAATGCCTATTTGTCAGGGAGACCTGTTCTATCATCTCCATTTTACAGAGGAGAAGACTGAGGCCCAGAGCAGCGTCACAAAATAGAAGCAGCCAGCCCAAGGCTATATCCAACCAACAGCAGAGCTGAGCTCTGAAGTCACAGTCATCTGGGGACAGTATCTACCCTCTGCTATTCCTGCTCTAGGAACTCTGTACACAAGATGCAGAGGGGACAATATCCGAATGTCTGACCAACAAGGAAAGGTGTCCTTTATGTTTGGCCAGAATATAAAGTTGCTCTCAGCAATAG